ACACCACGATCAGGACAGGCAGGAATCTGGAGATGCGGTCTAGGTGCGGGGGTACAACCGAAGCGAGTTGTACGAGGTTCAGCGTTCAGGGGTTCAGGGTCAGGGTTCAGGGGTTCAAGAGGACGCCAGATAGTAGAGAGTGTAATTCCTAGGTACAGGTGTCCAAAGAAGATTACCAGATTGCGTAAAGAAAGTAAAATATAAAGGGGCACACCCCTTTATATACTAAGAAAATCCTCCATGATCACTAATACAAAAGAAAATACTTGGCGTCGCGCGCAGCCGCAATTTCTCTATCTGTTTCCGCTGTCTTCCGTTGCGCGGCAACGCATCCCAATCATTTATACAAAGGAAATCCAACCATACAACCAAGGAAACCACAACCAACATATGCAACGAAAAACCCATGCATGTTCCGTCTCCATGGCCGGGTGGCCGTGACAGAAAACTATTTCTCATCCTACATCGAACAATTAAGTTCTAAATAAGGACATAAGAAGATTAGAGGAATAGACGCGATAAGATAGAAGTCAAAGGACTTGACTATCAGTATCACGTAGGCATCGGCCTAAGAACTATTACCTTGTTACGAATTGAGAATCGTTACCTGTCCCACTTTAGTGCCTAGTAGGATTCTTAACAACTCTCCTCACTTGCTTGCCTTTCTTATCCGCTTGCTCTCTGCTTTAATGTCTAGATCATATCCTAATCCTGGTGCTATAAAACTCTTATCCTGAGTATAATACTTGCAGCTTTGTGTTTGAGTCACCACCTGACCCTCGCCCCACCTTCTATCCTTGGGATTCCAGCTTGGTACTCTGCCAGTGCTCCATTATCAGAACACTCAGACAATATCCTGTGGCAGCTGACCCATAGTTCTCGTACCTGCCACTGCACTTGCAGTATTCTCCCCTCTAGATACTTTCCACCTGTGACTTCTTTCTCAGAATTCTCTCTGCGCATCTTTTGACATACCTACAAGTAGTTCAGTTCTCTATTCTTGCCCTTATGACTTTAGGATAGCATCTGTCTTGTAGTAGGACACTTGGTACACTTTCTCTGATACTCTAATATGTTGTCACCTAGTAGCGATACATGTGAGTACCTACCTACATTGCTGCAAAGATTGTATCTATGGGCAGCTGATGGAAATTAGTACCTTCCTTGTGTTCTCTATCTGTGATATTAACTACTGGTACTCCTCCTAAGTAGGCATAGCATAGTTTCTTACAACTGGTTTGTAGATCCTCTAGTGAGCCCTTAATTCCTAGTACTATGTTTCAGTCATATTCTATTACTTCTATTTACAGCTTACTATTAAGAGAGCTCTATTATTCTACATCCATCTTGGCTGTTTACAGTAGGAGACATCAACATCACATGTTAGCTGTCTTGAGTATCATAGAACTACTATATCTGTATCAAATTTCTCAATATATTTTACTAAATATCCTGAAATAAATACAGCTATTAATTAGCTGTTGCCTTTTGTCCTTTGGGATTAGGTAGGCTTGCCCAAGTATTATGCCTATCTATATTGACTATGATAAACCTTCTGGTAATGGGCCTGAGCTGAATGGTAACAAGATCATATAATTCTGATAAACACTTACAGTTAACTGTATTCAATATCTGAATATATACAAGTTGATATATTTTCTTCTAGTACATATGATCTTACAGTTTGAAGAGTTCTACGATCTTTCCCGGAAGCTGTCCATGGATGTAGAAAATCCAAGCTGCTCCCCACACCTGCCCAGTACCTTCCCTTTCCCCTTCTCCCCGTCCTCCTCATACCCTTCCCTCCCCCTTCTCCCCATTCCCATTTCCTATCCCCCCAGTCTCCTTCCTTTCCTTCCCTTACAGCATTTGTTTACTCATTTGCTTGTTTGTTAGTTTTTTGGGAGTGTGCTTCGGAAGCACATGGCAGAGCACTGGGATAGTGCACGGGAGAGAGCGCACGGTGGAGTGTGGCGGAGCACGGGAGAGCACGGAGGAAAGGCGGAAGCAAGAGCGCAGGAGCAAAGGAGCATGGCGGAGGACTGCCAGAAGCATGCTGGACGGAGTGCTAGAAGAGCGTGCTGTGAAGGACCGCAGGAAAAGCGCCGGAAGAGCACCGGAGGAGCATGGTGGAGGACCGCAAGAGGAGCGCAGGAAAGGCGCGGCGGGAAAGCACTGTGGAATAGCGCATGGCGGAAGCCCAAGTTTGTCTTTCTGTTCTTTGTTAGTTTTTTTTTTTAGTTTTCTTGGAGGATACGGGGGCTTACCTATGGGGGGGGGGGACCTTGAGTTTGTCTTCCCTTTGTTAGTTTGCGTGTTTGCTTGGGAGAGGGAAGTGGAGGACTTACCTGGGGGGGTGGAGGGGAGACTGTGGTTTGTCGGGCGTCGCCCGTGGTGGATATATTCTCCGATGTTCGCCATTAGTTAGCTGGGTATGCGATAGTTAGGGATTGAGAGAGAGTGAAAGTGAAAAGTTTTTGTTAGCCTTGTGCAATCCTTTTGTGTGCCTAAGCTTGGCGTTTTGTTTCATAGCCCGTCACTTGGCTGGCTTCCGATTGGCTAGTTGCGATAGATCCTTGTTCGTGCGCCGTTGCGACCGCCGTTCCACTGCTGGTTCAAAAGGTTATAAGCCTGGCCTTGCACTACATAATCGCCCAGTCGCCATCCAGTATCTACTGGTGAATACGAACGCCTCCAGAACCCCTGTGCCCACTCTGCACATCCCGCTCCAGTTCTTCACATCCCACCCCCTACCGAAATCCGCCTGGCATCTCCACTAATTCATGGTTCTGTTACACTAATTTTCACATTTAGTCTGCCGCTGCTGTACAGCGCTCATTCTGGTTGCGCCCTGTTAGCACTAGTTGCACCCTGTCAGCACTAGTTGCACCCCGGTCAGCACTTGAGCTCCTGTGCTCCTGCTACCACCCCACACCCACCTCGCTACCACTCCAGTCAGAATGTCAAAGATGGGTCAGGAGGTGAATATTCTCTCCTCTCTAGGCATTAAGCCCCTCTCTAAGGCAGTAAATTACCGGGAGTGGAGCTTGGCTGTGGTGGATATCCTCGCTGAGAAGGGGTATTGGCCTATTGTTGCTGGGACCTCTGAGGCCCCGGCAGAGTCTGGGGAGGCCAGGACTCTATGGGAGCTGAAAGCCAGTAAGGCCCAGGGTATGCAGGGCAGGCTTTTGGATGGTGCTCAACGAGAGTTGTATGCTGAGGAGCGAGATCCCAAAGAGCTGTGGAAAA